TGTACATAATTTTAAAATCAAGAATTAAAGTATCTTGATCTCATCCAATAATCTCTTAACTTTCCTTTTACTCTCTGCAAACACATTTTGTAAAATTTGCAAAACATAACTGTTACTTTTGTCAAATAGCATGACCATTGTAACTGTCACTATGGATTCCCTGGTAACAATTTCATAGTTCTATAATAGTTCTCATTGTCTATTGAAAAGGAACTTAAAGAAGCAACAACCTCAGTGTACTCAAGGTGATTTTCCTTTCTTTAGGTTATTTCCAGGTAAAAGGTTAGCTCTACATATTCACCCCATGTTAATGAACAAATTATATTTTGAAAATTATCACAGTGTAGTTGATAGTAAGCTATTCCAACAGGCAGTGCATAGTATCAGGAGAAACTGAAGTCTGAATGTTTGTGCATAAACACAGTAATTGTATTAAACCTGTCAATTTCTACAGAGACTACATATTTTCTATGCTTAAATTAAATGATTTCATTTTATCATGTTGAAATTAGAAAAAAATATTGATGACGGATTGAGGAGCAGTGAGAGATGTTCAGGTTCAGCTCTGGGTTAGATGAATGCAGTGAATCCTCTCACTTAAACCTGTGCACCTAACTCTGGGAGGTTTTGAGTAGATGAAAGCAGTGGTTTCTATGATGAAGTGATACCTGACTAGGAAACAGTAACAGATTAATCACTCTGTCTTCACTCCTGTGTTTTCCTTATGACTTTTGGGATACAGCTTCTATCAACATTTTAAAACACAGACTGCAGACAGGTGTGCCTACCCCTCAGGACCTGTCACTGCCATAGTAGAAACCAGTAATAATGTCATTCACAAGCCCACCTGCATGCCCTCAACACACTCCTATGGAATGGGGGGTTCACTGGAACACACTGATGGGTTGGCTAGTGATTAAAACTAAAAGGGGGACAGAGCCACTGATTCACATGGGTTAGGTCAGCATTGCTATAGTCAAAAAGTTTTCATTTGTGGTAAATTAATAAAGTATTTCTCACCTACTTCCTTTGTGCAATAAGGGTGTTTGGGGCACTACATCTGCTGAGAATGACTATCACAGTGGTGTGCCCTACTTGAATTAACTTGTCAGTTAACAGGAAGCTTATCCTTGGATGCAGCCTAAGCCTTGGAAAGTCCATTATTTATTTCATGTTATTTGATTTATTCAGTACATGAGTCTTGACACTGTTGTAATTGCAATGAAACCTGGGAATGGGGAAACCTAGGAGGACTCTCTCAGGCCTGCATTCTGGAGTCATGTTCTCTAGTTTAAGAACAAACATTTCCCTTTGATTTTTCAGGAAACTAAAAAAAAAACATTTTCTAAATACTCTCTTTCTACATCTGCAATTCTAAAATGTAAGCACAGTCTGCCTCATTTATCTGTTGTAACATTAGATAAGATGATCCTTGACCAAGTGGAGCTTAGGGCGATATTTGCCACAGCTGTTGTCATCCATGTTGGAAGTGAGCTAACACTCTGTCCCTGGGAGACCTAGTGAAGGGTGCTTTATGGTAAATTCTGTGATTGATTGAAGAAAACTACCCTATTCAGGACAAATCTAAGTATCGGTCAGCAAGATATGTGACATGCACCTTCAGTGGAAAGATTGTAGTTTTTTTCATTCTGGGGAGCCACACTGAAGTGGGTGGACATACACTGTACATGTAAGAAGTGAGCTCTCCATAATCACAAAGTTTATGTAATTGGGTAATAAGCAACAGCAGGATGTCATTGTTTTCAATTTGGAGAGGAAAAGGGCAGTGAACTGACAATTCTTTGTCCCCACAAATGTTTCTTGAAATTAGTTGTATGGAGGCATACATAATTGTATTCATTTGACCACAATATCTTTTTTTTGTGTGTGTGATGAACACATTCTAGGATTTTATCATTTGACTTAATGCTTCCAAATATGAAAAAAAATGTGAAAATTATACTGTACATGAAAATATCCATGATATATTAACTCAAAATAATTCTTTAGCATATTAATTTTACTAATTCATTTCTTTAAGTATATTAATTTTACTAATTAAAATTAATTTGCTAATTTATGAAGAATTTCAAGACTAACAATGAAAGGGCACAATAGTCTTACAATGATTAAATTATCGGTGCTCTTGTAGGACTGTTGTGTATTCAAAGAATTTATGAAACATGGACAAAGTTCAGAGTCCAAAGTGACGTTGAAAGTATTGTCTTTTAAGTATACACACACACACACACACACACAATATTATAATCCTAAAGTACTTATTTATTTTTCCAAAATATTTGGGTAGGCAGTATCTATTCAAGACCAATTGTAATAATATTCTAAACCTAATAATTATGGGCAATATTTGTGGAACTGAAGGGTCATGCATGCTACAATGTTTTTGCATGAATTTTCTTTTGTAATCACCAAACAATGGAAGAAGTGCATACTACCCTAATACATATTGTTAGGCTGTCCAGTCTGTACAGAATAAAGTTGAGGTGAATATTGATTTAAGTTTCCTAATTTTATCCATCTACTGGTAAGATATATAGATTTTTAAGGTTAAGTCACCAGACCACAAATCTGTATTTCTGTATGCACATTATTAAAAGAAATTATTCTATTGAGATAAGGAAAAGAAGACAAATGCATATTAGTTCTTTAATTTTTAGAATTTGTCTTAACTCACATAAATTTCTGGATTTTCGGTGTCCACTTGTTAATATGCAGACATTCCACAAGATACACTCCTTTCTATTTAAATGTGGAAATTTAAATAGAAAGGAGTGTTCAGTGAGTGAAAAGTTCATCAGGTCACAAAAATGTTTTGAAATACTTTTAGCGTCAAATGATTTTCTTCTTCACATATAAATAGAGAGTGCAAATTACATTGAAGTATTTTATGCTCTGCAGATTTTGTAGGAAGCTGATGTCGGCACAGCTGTTGCTGTTTTTATAAAACATGGGTCAGAGGGTAAATCCACAGCAGCAGGAAGCCAGGGCTGGAAGCCTCCAGGGCAGTGTGAGGTTCTCCCAAGTCTGGGACCTGCAGGGGCATGTCTCAGGGGGCTGGTGACCTGCCCCAAATCTCACACACCTTTTCTGAGTAGATTTGTGCAGGAATTGGATGCTTTCCTTCCACTCTCAGGCTAATTTAGCTACCCATAATCATACCTCTGTCCATGATACACTGTGCTGCCTGACTTAGCCACAGCAAGCCCTCCTTCATCTGTGGTTGAACCAGTCACAGAGCACAGCCTTTCCATCCACACCACACAGTGGGAAGACAAGCTTGGACCAGTGCATTTGTAAGACTGAGATATATGATAGCACTATTTGCTAACAGTGAAAATCAATACCAAACACACAGTGATTATGAATATAGTTAACATAGCAATCAGTGGCACCTTTATCCCAAAATTATGCAGAGCATTCAGATTTGAAAAGCTACTCACATAATGCAGCCCATCCACATATGAGTAACAGCATGTAAGTCCACCAACATGGGTGTATATAATGCAAAGTTTGGTGCTAAATAGTGTTATAAAATTTTGGATTCTATAAAATAGTTCAGGGAAGATATCTACAATATATATATAAATGATAAAATAAAGCAATTGTGTATAAATAACAAGATGTGTAAGAAACATTTTCAATAGAAAGAAGAGGAAAATATTTTAAAATGAGTTTGCAGATTAATCCAGGCGTCAAGGAGTAGAATAGTTTCTGCCTTGGTATCTTGGGAAATGTGACTCAAAACTTATTTTCATGGTATTATGACTGGCAAAATATTACTGCTCCTGAAAATACCTAACAACATCACAGCTGCAGGAATTGAAAAAGATTGACAGCTGAATATAGTGAGAAAGTAAGGGATTCATTTATCCTCAAAGAATAAAGGCAACAATTTAAGATTGATTACTACAGAAAGTCTTACCACATACAAAGGACTTAGATCACAATATGAGTATTAGAGAGTTACCAGGCATTTATGAGTATAATATGCTATACGCATAATGTCTGATGCAGTAGTGATTAAGAATTAGTAAACTGGATGTATATATACATACATATGCAATTAAGAGAGCATGATAGTAATATGTTCAATATTATAACAATAATGTTAAATATAATGATAATTAGAACAATGGCTGTTTTGATAACAAGAACATCTAAGTATTTAAATTTAAAGAGCATTGTTGGCATACTACATTAGTATAGCTGCAGTGTTTATTAGAGGTGTGCTGCCCACTTACAAAATTTATCTTGGGTTTTAATTAAATTGAAAAAATAAATCAGAAATGGCCTGCTACACATAGATTATGACTGAACCCATGCATTTTTGTATTGGTACTCATTAATCTATTATTCTCTGTACAAACTAAAATTCATAAGGAGAAGATAAATCTCACTGAGGTGTGAGAAGAGAGCTTTTCACCCATGCAGGACATCATGGCAGAGAAATGCCATCTGGAGGTTTCAGTTACAAGAGAGCCATCTCTATGATTAACAGAGAGGCTCTGTGTCCTGTTCATAATCCACACTAAAAGAAGCTTGTTTGGACCAGTCTTAAATAACAGATTGGCGCTTGTCTCCTGCCTGTAAGAACCTAGGATTACTTAAGTGTGAGAGTTTGCAAGTAGCACAGTTTGTTTCTTCATGTTATTTAAGTTCCTCTAAGAAATTATCAACTTTTAAAATAGGAATTTTCAGTCTAACGTAGGAGCTCTTTGAGTACCTACTAGATGTGGAAGACAGTTGCCTGGAGGGTGTTGTACTGACCAATGGCTCCTGATCAGGAGGAGAAGTGGTGACCAGGTGAGGAGGTGGGCATGGTGGGGCACACCCCTGCCTTTGTGGAATAGAGAAATTTAGTCATGTTTTCTTTCCTAAACAGCAAAGTCTGATTTCAGTGGTTATACATTTTTGTTTAGATTGCTTATTTAAATTTTAAATTTCAATTCATCCTAGCATTGAAGAAAATCTCCAGAAACTCCCTTAAATACAAGTGTGAGAAAACTGAAAAGTTACAATCACAAGAGAAAATGCAACATCCACTAACCTACATGAATTCAAAAGTCCACCAACAGGGAGATATTCCAATGTAGAAACCTGGGATTATACAACATGACTTCTTTGGGCCAGGATGACATGAAAGGCATCACACTGGCAATCACAGGCCAAGCATCAGCCTTCTCAGACTAGCACTCTGCTGCAACCTGAGAGAGAGGCTTGTATAAGGCCGTATATACATTTTGTGTAATTTAGCTGGAATTGAGAAAATACTAAACTCCTGGCAGCTATTAACCGTGAATGCTACGGAAAATGTTTTGCTGGAGAGAAGAAAATTAAATAACCAGGCCTAAAGGATAAGGCTTTCTGTCACGTGACCAAGCTATTTTAAGGAAGTTCCAGATCCTCATTTTAACCAGGCCAAATTCCTCAGACATTCTCCTGCCTTCCAGTTTGCCCATAGCCATGGAGAACTCCACTGACCCCACGGCGATGAACTTCATTCTCCTGGGGCTCTTTGACTACACAAAGACCCATCGAGTCCTGTTTTCTCTGGTGTTCATGACCTTCATCGCCTCCCTGGTGGGAAACATCCTGATGATCCTGCTCATCCACACAGACCCCAGACTCCACACCCCCATGTACTTCCTGCTCAGCCAGCTCTCCCTCATGGACTTGATGCTGGTCTCCACCATCATCCCCAAAATGGCAGCCAACTACCTGCTGAACTCCAGGTCCATCTCTCCTGCTGGCTGTGGTTCCCAGATCTTCCTGTTCCTTACTCTGGGAGGGGGAGAGTGCTTCCTCCTGTCAGCCATGTCCTATGACCGCTATGTGGCCATATGCCACCCATTGCGCTACCATGTTCTCATGAGCCATAAGCTGTGTTCCCAACTGGTAGCAGGCTCCTGGCTTTTGGGAGGAATTGATGGGCTGATGCAAGCCAGTGCCGCTCTGAGCTTCCCCTACTGCCACTCCAGGGAGATAGACCACTTCTTCTGTGAGGCACCTTCGTTGATGCGCCTTGTCTGTGCGGACACCACTGTTTTTGAGTTTTTCATGTACATCTGTTGCATCCTGATGCTCTTGATCCCTCTATCTCTCATTGTGGCCTCATACAGTCTCATCCTGGCTGCTGTGTTAAGAATGAATTCTGCTGCAGCCAGAAAGAAAGCCTTAACCACCTGCTCCTCTCATCTGGTTGTGGTAGGGATGTTCTATGGCACCCTCATGGTCATTTACATGAGACCCAGGTCCTACCAATCAGTGGGCCACAGCAAAGTAGTCTCTGCATTTTATACCATCTTTACTCCTGTGCTGAACCCCCTCATCTACAGCGTGAGGAATAAAGATGTCAAGGGGGCCTTCAGAAATTGGCTGGGCAAGACACATGCTATGTGATTCCAACACGAGGATTTACTGAAATGGCACCTCCCAAAATGTACTCATGCTGTCATTACAAGTTACTAGTTTATTTTCTCTATTGAACTGCTGATTTTGTGTTCTTTCAATTTATTTTATTTTCACTTTGCCATTTTACCTTTTAAGGTATTTCTGTGCAGTGTTTGGTGAATCAGTTAAAAATTTTATTGTGATAGGCCCAGTCTGATTCCCTCTTAAAATTGTGAGCCATCTCGACACATGAAAATCTAATTTTAGCTTTACTATAAATTACTGCAAATTCTGATCTTGCTTGGAATGCCTGCCCTTGCCTTGAACTCACCCATGCCTGGCTCTCTCTGACCAGATAGCAGCCCTCTCTAAACTTTAATGATGCTTCATAAATCTTGGCCTTCCCTGGCCAAGATAATTACTCTCACGGAGGCTCTAATGACCTTCATAAATTCTGATGTTGGGGCCAGCAAAAATGTAAACTAGCATTAGTGTTATGCTCCTCAGAATTTTGTTATCTGTTACCCCCCCTTTGTGTAACTTTCTGCGCTATAAAGCTGGGCTGCAAGAAAGATGCAGTTCTGTCTTGTTCCTGCGTTTTTTGTTGGGAGAGGCAGCCAGGCTGGTTGAAATAATAAGCTTGCTTTAATTTGATTTTAATTGGAGTCAGTGGTCTTT